AATAGCAAAGCCCAAGGCTCCTTTCGGTTGTGCATGTCTCAGTGTTCGACAACAAGTGTTATCAGGGGCGACGGAACTAGTATTTTCGAAAATTTAATTTTGTTTAATGATAAAAGCTCGTTGTATTTTCCTATAATGTAATTCATTATTAACAGTTATATTTACAGCAAAATGAAACCTTGATGAATAAAAAAGGATTTCTTGACCACAATGTTAATTAATCTTCTTAGCCCCCCCAGGGCCAAAAACGCTCCGCCGCCCCTGGTCATTTTATCCGACAGTCTTTTTTGAAATAGGTATATATATCTTGTTTGAGCTAGCTGTTTGTGTTGACTGTTTATCAGATAATTTTAAAATACTTTTATATACATTCGAGCACACAGATTTTATATTATAAGAATTGTTTTTCTATGCGTGTGGTCTGTTCTTGTTGTCACATATCTTACTTTTTTGACTGGTGTATAAAAAACGCTCCTGCTGGCGTKCCTATTCTTCCAACGCTCCTATTAAAGATTACAAGGAATTATCTCACAGTGTTTCAGCTATAGTTTCATATACGATTTACCAACCACCTACATGCCATATTAAATACCTAACATTTTTCAGTGGTGGTGGTTATCGAATATTGAAGGTTTTTTAAGATTTATACACTTGACCTACAAGGAGAAACGTGCACCATGGTACTGCAAGACCTCCAAAAGTGAAATCCTCCCTTTAATAGTTACTATACTTCATTAAGGAGAACAAATCTTTTAGGTTGAGATTATTGAATAAGCTTTCCTCCCTTTGTACATTTATATGAGATTTGTGGTCATATCAACCTTAAGCGTTCTTTTCACTTTATGCTGTTTAGAGACTGATTGTACAAATGGTAACCCTTTTGACATTCTCRGGAGTCACCGAGATAACAGTTCGGAGCATGCGCTTTACTTGTCTTTGTATTAGCAAAATCATTTAAAGCAATCCATCTACCTTTATTCTATCCTGTTACTGATATTTAAGCTTAGCTTTGCATTCAGATTAATTGAGTTATTGGAATTCAAACTGATCTGAACTTTCATTTTAGCTCATGCGCGCTTGTAGAGTTTCGCAAAGCTAATTTGATCCCCCGGCTCCGCGCTCGCTTATTTTACTCAATTCTTATTTCCTACTTTTTCCGGACCGGGAATCGAACCGGGTGGCRTTTAACCGGCCGGCCATCCTTGCTCCCCAAGAATGCAGGCGCGTATCATATTATGTTTCTGGGTGCTTAACGACCGCCAATTTCGAAATAAAAACTCTTGGAAATACGATTTCCAGCGTCTTGAGTGACATCGAGCATATAAAAGGAATCATTTTTATGTGAATTTTTCAGTTTTTGTGAAAGTTTTAGTGTTTCCTTGCCACTAGTACGCACCTGCGTAGAGGACGCTACGCGCCCGGAATGTTCACTTGGTGGCACACACTTGCTTCATTTCTCATTTACACTGACGTATTCTCTCATTGGAAAATGTCTTAGGAAAAATGAGATTATRTGTACCAAGCAAACAGTTTTTTAGTCTGAACAATCGACATTGCCATGTAAAGAGATTGAGTAGCATGAGAATGTAGGCTAATAAAGTTTGCGCGCGAGAATTATCAGTACTGGAACCATTGTGGTCCCTGCAATGACATCCGGGTAACATAGCTACATAGTAACATATGCAGTTACCCAACCCGTCTTTCACTGGTCATTTTAACTCATGGTTATAGTCAAATTGATGACGCTATTATTGCTACCATTTTAATTTAAAAAAAAAATATCATGTTCTTCATCGTCTATGGGAACCGATTTGCCTCCATGGACCAATGAGCACTTTTTTAATTAAAATGCTGACCAAACTTGGGGGAGCATTTTTTTATTCATTTACAGCAACAAATATTTGAACTTAATTTCCCTGTGGTCGCGCCACAGCAGGTTACCCGTGGGCGGGTCATTGGTGTTTTTTCCCGTGTATAAAGAGGAAAGTCTAAACATCGACCCTTCCACTTTGCCTCTCCTGACCGGTGATGTGTTGCCAATCTTTGATCACTGAAGTGTCTATAATGTTGACTTTAACCTCCAAACTCTCTTTTCAGTTTGGTGCCAGATAACTAAACAGACCAACGATTAAATTTAGCATTWGAGGGTGGGTGTAATATAATGATTAGAAAGGTGTTTTCATTGTAGATAAGGGTGTTGAGGAACTGAATCTTCTTTCTGTTCGAGGTCAGATCAATAATAAGTGATATAAAAAGGGTGTTTTAGTATACGCGTTTTATTYAATCCACACTTTAGTGGCAATATTTAGTAATAAATTCTGTTACTCTATCCTCATCTTTCTATCTTAGTGCCACTGAATTTGCTTGCACAGACCTTTTCGACGAAAAGAGGGCAACAACGTCGGAATTTTTGAACCACTTGAACCAGTTGAACGGTCAAGTGTAGATTTGTCTAATTTAAGTGAGATAAGAAAAGTGATAGTCACGTCCCAGACTAGCAGCAATAGCCAGAGAGATGTCACTAGTAAAAGATACGTAATATAACATTGTAACTAAATTATATCTATGACGTCCTAGCGTGCGCGGCAACCTGCGATGCCATAWTTATGTTATTTCGTTACTGAGAATTTTAGCAAAARGAATATCAATGAATTAATGCATGTGCATGCACGTGCATTCTTGGACATTGAGACCAATTCCAGTMAAAACTGACCCGTGCACGTGCGTGCGGTGTACACGTGAATAAAMATCTTCTCCGTTCGCTTGAAAGGAAGAGCATGTCAACATAAGTATATTCAGACCCGACTCAAAATATTACCTTCTCGTACTCAAGAGTGCACGATGCTTTATGAAACTTATTTTTCTCTGTTTGCTAGCTCCGAGGTTTTAAGCTCAACAACATAAAAAAATGCGTGTCTGCCATTGTTTACGTTATCAATCAAAAGTAGCATTTTTCCTTTGACCACAGCCAAGCTCACGCTATAGCGACTATCTAAACAAATAAAGCAAATTAATGTACGTGTCATTTCCCAAAAATAGACATTCGACTCGTTACAGGTGAGAAGTCTCAMGACTTTTTTAAACGGAATGTGGACAGAAATAGCAGATACACACAAAAACAGTAAACAAGGATAACCTTTTTAAGAGTTGTGTTTTTCAAAACATACGTGTAGTATCAATAGAAACCCGAGTTATCGTRCAAGGTTTCTTTGAAATATGGTCCTTACATAGGAATGGGCATATCCTGGGAGTATAGGAAGATCCCCGTAGTGGGCGAATCATCCTCCTATCTTACTGTCACCCTTAGTAGAACYTTTTTAGTAACACTCAGAACACCCTTAAGAAACTTCAGTTCACCAAGATTTTAGATCCYCTCTATTAACTATGGTGTACTACAATCCATTGTATTACGGTTAGTTTTTTTTGTGACATTTCCAACCGACAATCGCGTGATCGAAATGCAATTTAACGTAAATAGAAGGTTTGGCGGGAATCACTCCTTTCAGTGTTTTAGAAACCCCGTCAACGAAGACTCCTTCTGAAAAATGACAGCAAGGTTGATATCTCAGRTGTTTAAACGCATGCCCCCTACATWAACTACCCCTTGGCCTAAAAACAGACCTCTTGCTTATTTTAAGAGTACAACGTTGATTACAGAGTATATTGGCAAAACTTCAGTAAAGCTTAACAAAACTCACAGTTACCTCTCCGTCCCAAGAGTACAAATGTACGAAACTAAATGAATAAGCAAATGATTATAAATAGATAAACCCTATATCGGAAGTATTTAAACATTTTGTTTTGACCCGTCAWAGTCAATGTCTGACAGGAAGTAATAAGTGTTAAGCGTCCCAACACAGCAGTTTGCAATGGCATACATAGCTTTTTTCCTTCTTTATCTGGGCCAATTATACCATCGTTTTGAAGTAATTTTCTCGTGCGACTTCAATTACTACCCGCGTTGTGTTCTCTTTTCAAATATTTTTTTTTTCTTTTTGCGTTTTCCTAAAGGCACTCTTTGAAAAATAAAACCTTTGTAACATCTAAGTTACCTCTCTCGTAGCCCATGTAGTTGTTCTTTCGAAGCAACTGACTTCACATGACTACAAGTGAGAACATGAACAAACGGGCCGTACACACTGTCGTTGCTTTGGAAATGATGCCGAGATGCCCAGATGCCCAGATGCCCAGATACATGTAGGGAGCTTCCTGTACTGTCTCGTTCTACTCTGATCCTTTCTATACTGGAGGGATTAAAATGTGGCGTTGTTAAAAGCATTAGAACAGGACTCTTAAATTAGAGAACAGCAAGTTTTTAATGCAAAATAAATCCCGATTTAAAGAGGGCTGTCGGAAGTGTTCATCGTTCTAAACCCTCTACGATTTTCCGGCGAGATTGTGAATAAGAATATACCACTCAGATGAGTTATAATGGACTAATGATTATATCACTGACACTTCTCAATTTTTTGTGTAGGCCGTGTACCTATAGTAAGCTATATACTCCTTACTGACCCCTCGGGTGCCTTTGTAATAACCAGTCCAGCCCATAGACAATTAGTAAATTGGTAATGATAGTACTCTATCAGTCAGGAGTTGATGATATTTAGTTCACTGACTTGAATTGAACCTGTAGGGTGTCCTTTCATGAAAATGTCATTACGCGGGCAGTTTTGTACAAAATGAAGTWTGAAKTGCTGATACCTCTCGCTCACTTGTTGAAACATGATTTTATTTAAGTTCTCTTTTATGAGTTCTTTAGTCGAACACACATTATGGATAACATAAAAAGCTTAAGCATTTTATGCAYGTCTTCAACTCCGATGCCGTGACTGCAGCCTGTGTTGTCACTAGACTCACTGGTCTGTCCAAACACGACCCACAGGAGTGTATACAAAACGCTTTAAATTTCATCAACTATGCTATTTAAGTATGTTACTACAGACAAAAAGTTTTTAAAGCCGTGGGAACAAATCACGAGAGACCTTTCGGACTTCCGATCTTCAGTGTTTAGTWATAATCTCAAACCTCCAGTACAAAATAATCACCACAATAAGAACCTAACAGGTAACTCAGAGAGATTTCCGAAGCGATTTGTTAGTTTTTCCGGATCTGATTTCTAATGCTCAACAAGAGGGCGCTAAGCCAACTAACTATTTGGTCAGTTCGGTCAGACTTAAAGGGTTCCAGCTCTGTGTGACACTGAGCAAATTACTATAGATTACATAGCATGTATATGTAAAGCGCGGGAAAAATGACAAGAGTAAGGTAGGAGAGCTCGTTTCTACAAAAAGGCACTCTAGAATCATCGAATAAAGATTATCCGTTTTACTGTCCTTTAATTACATTTGTTTTCTGGTAAACCAGGAAGCTCTAGTGGAGAGGAGCTACGATGAGAAGCTAATTTCTTTAGAGATTAACCTTATAAAATGGTCTTGCAACCCTTTGCAAGATAAATTTCACATGTAAAACAACACTTATTTTGAGTGAGAAAGATGAAAAGAAGTTGAGGGTAAAAAATGACCTGCTGCTAACTTTGATATGTCAAATATCTCCTTTATTTCGCGGCACATTCATATTATTTGATTATTTCTCTAAATTCAATTCTATCGACTCCAAACRCTGGACGTTTGAGTACTTTGCAAGGAAAAGGAGTTTGTAGTCCGACCAGAAGGCTGAAGTCCACCTGAATGACCTAGTAATTCATACATATCATCTTGGCAACTATGGTAAGGGCATCGCCACAAACAGAAAAGAGGGGAAAATATTCAACAAAATCAAAGTTTGATGGATGTTTTCAACGGAATGATTATCAATTTGTTATGTTGGCAAAGTATAGATTTCCTGTCAGTGAAGTTGTTGAACGAATCACGTATTTTCGTGGGAGGAGTGATATCACATCCCGTACATGTCCATCTCAACCAAAAACAACGTGTAATCTCGAGAATCTCTTTTAAAAACAGTTAGAAAAGTTGAAACTTTTTAAAGTTTAAAARATTCACYACCAGTTTGACAAGGACCTGTTCTTGATGTAGATAAGGTCAGAAAAATGTCACCTAACACGAAGGTGACGCACACGTGATGACTGTCCGGCTTCAAATCGATTTATTCAGATTTTCATGGACTTTATGAAACGTAAAGGCAAACTTCTATTTCAGAAAGAGTGTTTACTTAAGTAAAACTCTCGAATGGGGGATATTCTAAGGACAAAAGCGCGAATTTCATTGTAAGGGAGCTCTGAATTAATAGACGGACTGAATGACAAGTTATGTTGATTATCTTGATGACTACTTCAAAGAGTGCCGACCTAAACACCCTGCGAGGCAGCATTTCCTTAACAAACATGAAATGACCGATTTATGTTACCCGTGCATGCAAGGTGTTTTTTGTGAAAACACTAGTGCTGCCGGTGTTCCCGCGCAGTTTCTCTTGTTCCAACCACATCCTGTTCGAGACATTTTTTATTTTCTTCTTTTGGGGGCATAAGTACAAAATCCCTCACGCCCCTCGGGAACGTGATTCCACTCGCACACACATCCAATCACGACTTGGTTTGTTTTGACTAGCAAGCTTAGGGCAAAAAAAGGCAGGAACGTCATCTCGTAGATTCAGGATACCGGACTTAAAAACAGCGTAACGTCGCATCCCGTTTATGTGTGAGGTCTGGGATGCTATCACTTTCAATGACATCCATTGTTTTCTCAATGCACCAATCGCCGCTCGGATTTCCCCATTGTCTAACAATTAGCCATACCGAGGAACTGCCAATCTTGCGGTCGTCTTCACATCCTTTCATCCAATCAGAATCGCTGTTTTATCTTCCAATTATATYTACAAACACTTTGCCAACATAATTCCACATTTGATCCATTGACATACGATAGAAAGCATTTGTGGAGCGAGTTTGTTTTTAGGGGCTCCCACAAAAYACCATATTTTAGAGCCGATCATGGCAGTCAATATACGAAACGTATTCTCTTCGGCGAGGCCTTGATATAATGACGATGGGTTGTGGCAGTAGCAAGAAAATAGTGAACGAGTCACCTTCAGATTGTAAAGTAAGGACAACTTTACTGCCCGAAGGTAATGCATCACGTGAATCTTACTCAAGTGGAAACAAGAGAAATGAAAAACGCAAAATCCCAGAAAGAACCGGACAAATTTGGACTAGATTTCATACTAGAGTTACAGGAAAATACGACATCAAGGGAATGATCGGTGAAGGATCCTTCAGCAAGGTGGTTCGCGTTCAAGATAGAGCAACCAAACAACCCTACGCGATTAAAATGATAGAGATAGAAGAAGGCAAAGATGTCTTTGAATCTGAATTAGCCGTGCTCAGAAGAGTGCAACATCCCTACGTTGTGAGGCTATATGAGGTTCTCGAGTGTAAGAACAAGGTGTATTTGGTCATGGAACTCGCTACAGGCGGCGAACTGCTCGAACGTATCGTAAGCAGAGGGTATTTTACGGAGAGAGATGCAACACATGTCCTGTACATGGTATTAGAAGGAGTTCGATACCTTCATTCCCTAGGGATAACACATAGGGACTTAAAGCCCGAAAATCTACTCTACTACCACCCTGGCAATGATTCAAAGATTATGATAACTGATTTTGGTTTGTCCAACTTAAAGAAAGGCCCAGACGATAGTGTCATGGAGACCACTTGTGGTACACCTGAATATATTGCTCCTGAAATCCTCTTGAGAAGGCCGTACACAAACTCCGTAGACATGTGGTCCATTGGAGTAATTTCCTACATACTACTCAGTGGAGGAATGCCCTTTGCGGATGATAACAGGACGCGATTGTACAGAGCTATTCTCACGGCAGAGTATAACTATTCAGACGAGGTATGTTTAGAGAATAGCTTAGCGTGAATGTAATTACTGGTTTTGTTGTCAGTGTATGACCTAACTTAAGACTCACGACACATTTTTCTTAGCCTTGCGTTTATGTTTGCTTTTAATCGAATATCAGTTTGTCGTTGCCGTTAGAAGTCACGTTTAGTCTTAGCTGTACTTGTGGTTGTACTCGTACAGTAAAAAGGCCGGAGGTCGTAGTTGCCAGTGCATTACTTACGCACAGAATTCTTTTGTTTTGTTGTAATTGCGCGCGTACATTTCCGTGGTTCGACGATTTCGTGCTCAATTGAACTGCTTGATTGCCGATTAGATTGGCATTGCGAGGGAATTTACTGATCGCCGTTGCTAGTTAGATGATTTTAGTAGCAAATTGTTAAGTTCAAAATTTTTTCAAGTTGTTTGTTTAGCCTGAGAGCGATTTTTGGGCCAATGAAGGTTGATGCCCCCGAAAGGATCCTTTGTTAATAACAATGTGCAACGTTAGACCATGCCGTAAGGTCTGGAAAGTTCGAAAGTGCGTAATGAGTATCTTTCCCACCACGCAAATCATTTACTCCTTTCACAACAATGTGTGATATTCCTCTTTCGCTTTTCTATTAATAGGAATCGCAAATTTATTACAGAGAATCTTTTCGATAGAGAAATTTCGAAATACTTCTCTCGAGGCTGGGAGTTGTTTAATCGACCTTGTGTGTACATTTGATACGAACTTCCTGAGGAATCAGTGAAGTCGCGCAATGTTATGGTTCGATCGAGTGTCATATGACATCTAACACTATTTCGACACTGTTTAAGTCTCCTAGCAATGCCCCTTAATAGATTTCTCATTCATATTTAACAATTTACGCAAGTTCAGTCCTTTATGTTGTCAAAATTAGCGCGCAGTGTTTTGATACTAGTGAATTGATGTACAGAGGCTTAGAAATATATTTCACCAAGTTCTCTGCAGTGGTCTTGCTGTGAGGTCGACAAACGAGCATCTTTTTAATACAGTGATCACTGTGTTACATATGGAAATTGCCTTGTTCAATCCGCTGGGCCAATTATTTAATTTAATACTGTTAAAGTTCGCTTTCTTCAGTGCCATCACCTGATTATGAGCTGGCAGGAGCTAGAAGCCTATGGCGGGTTTCCTGTAGTAGATCAAGCTGGTAATCCAATAAACATAAACTGCATATTTGTGGCATATTTGTGGTCTGTCGTAAACAAACATAACATCGATCTCGTGAAGTTCCCATGTTATTCTTGTTCGAATGAAAACTATCGCGATATTGATTTTGACTCAAAAAGATAGAGGGAGAATTCTTGTACTTCATACTGGTGACCATCACGGAATGATGATAACATTTTTCTTCGGGAACATGAAGTTTGTAGCTTAGAATTTCTTATCTGCCTTTCCTCTTATGCCTCCTTTGGCATGTGTTCAATTGAGTAAGATAATATTTGGCTCTTAGCGCTAGCCTTCTTCTTTCGCATGCCATCACATCACATAGAAGCAATTTCGATACGTTTAAACCTTTTCTTAAGAGTAGGTATTTGCATTATTTTCCAAGTAAGAAGTCTATATTTTGATTTTGATTTAACTAATCGTGATGTTTAGTTATCATCTACATGTATTTAGYGCAAAATACTAAATATGTTAAATTGATACTTAAACCAGCATTTTTAGGCCCTATGTCCTAATATTCTTTCCTATTGTTTTAAAATGTATTGTGCATTGTTATTGATTCCCTTGTGGATATAAGTACAATAACAAAGGTGTTTTGGGGTGATTGTCCCGATGACTACATGGGCACTAGACCTTAGTGATGGTTTTTGATCACTGGTTATTTAGACGCTATCATTCAACCAAAACAGTCAAAAAAATGACAAATAAATATATGTCATTACAGTAAATAGGCACTAAAATRAGAACTATTGGAAGTGGCACAGACAAGGGGCTAGAGCATCCAGGTTTTTTAATAAAAAGAAAAATTACAAAAATTTACATTGGTAAATAGTACTGTATGGTTTGTTTCCTAAAAATTAGACCTTGCCCCCCTGGTTAAATAAATGTGATACCAGAATTGTATGTAAACACTAACAATGCAACCTTTTTTGTGATATCTGTCTTAGGGGTTAAAACTGTTATAACATAACTTGGTTAATAGGATGTTTAAGATGTTTTGATATCAAAACACATTTAATTATTTGTTTAGATTGCTATTGCTATTTGTGTAAATTGCCCATAAACAGGTGTACACCTTTAAGTAAAAGGGTGTGAAGTGTTCAAAAGGTCTTATTAGTATGTGTTACTATTTTGTGAAGAAGTTGGTGTGAAGTGTGAAGAAGGTGTGAAGAAGGTGTGAAGTGTTCAAAAGGTCTTATTAGTATGTGTTACTATTTTGTGAAGAAGTAATGACATAAGCTACATCATTTGAGACTACATCAAGGTACAAAACCTGTGAAACCTCAAATACTGCCACGGACACATTCGGAGCATGTACACTATCTTTCAACATTTGAATTACTTTGGAATACCTTTCTGATGTTTGATCTCTCCTCAACAAAACAAAGAACAATGCAATGAAAGAAATGATTAAGCTAATCTGTTTACATAGTATGTTCATTTGGTATGACAGAGTTTCAATTTCTTGTAGGTAAACAAACGTTGTTGACTGCAAATGTTCATTAGTATTCTGTTTGGATCAGTTATCATGTTTTGCATTCCAGTGAGGTAGTGTTCACTGTGCATTAATAGATCTGACCTTTTTAATCCTGTTCATTAAAACTTGGCCAAGTTCAGGCTAGTAATAAAAGGATGGGCACTACTCATTCTTAAGATTGGTAACAATTAAAATTTCAATCTGTAACGTTACAAGTAGAATGTGTCACAAATATGTATTATAATTAGACCAACATTATAGTGGTTGCAGGCAATAAAAAGAGCGACTTAGTGATTATATCCATCATTCTTTCTTGTCAACTCAAAAGTCAGTTTGTTCTGTGTCAGACTCATTTGGCAATGTATGTTACATTATGCGCAATGCCAATGTGAAGGTCATGATAGTTAAAATTACATTGATGTCTTTGGCATTTCCTTTTAATATCCTTAAACTATCATTTTACTGTTACTTTGTTTACTCAGAAAAAATCCTCAGGAAAACAAATTACTAGAGAAGGTCAATGGCAAATTGTATAAAATATATTTATAAAAAAAATGTATGTTTTTGTTTGTGTCTATTTTACGATAATTATAGACTCTTTTATTTAGAGTGATCATTTTACCTTTTGTTCCGTAAAAGCATTTTAAACATGTCAATTATGAATATTAATAAAAAGATGAGGGTTTAGTTTTACAGACATAATGGATTTTATCAATATTGCTGCCTACAAATGTTAAGGCTCTTRGCATTGGAAAAATCAGTTTTTGTTTACATTGAAAGCAGTTGAGCTTTAATTGGGACTTGCACTTGCAGAAGAGGTTATGTGACCTTGCCACTTAYCCAAGTTCATTTTGAAAACTTCCAAATATCGACAATCATATGAASAAGGCTCATTACAAAAAGATCTAAGTTTCATAATAATTGACTTAAAAGTATAATTAGGTTATAAATGGTTTTAAATAAGTGGTAGTGAGTAAAGACATTTTCCAACTCTATTCTTCTTCAACTACTTACAGATTTGTTTTGATAAAGCTTATAAAATGGCTGTAACTCACACCAGAATCTTTCAGATATTTGCTCCATTGTAAAAATATGATTTCAGTTTTGTAATAATTACCACTTCAATAGAGTGGCAAAATGATGTTAATGAAAACCTAACAAATTCTAAATAAAAGAATAAATAAATGAAAGAAGTTATATTTTTTTAGTTTTGATCAAAAAGTTCCTTTAAATAGTTTTGTGTGTGGTATTTTCTTTCCTTTTAATCTCAAATTTGGTTCAACTGCTGGTATTTTGTACTCATCAATAAAAAAAAACAAAAACAAAAACTGAGCTTGCATGCATGAACTAAACTTATTAACTTTTTACCTAATAAATATTATTTTTTCCTTTATATTTCAGCCATGGAATGATGTCTCCGATCTAGCAAAATCATTCATTGATAAGCTGCTGGTCCTTGATCCAGATAAAAGGATGACWGCTGATGAAGGTTTGAAGCATCCTTGGATTGCTTCATTTGCAGCTTCATCTAGTTTTAAGAATTTGCATGGTTCCATCAGCTCAAATTGGCTAAAGTCCTCATCAAGACTCAATAGTGCTAAGTCAAACCGTTCAAAGCGATCTAACAGATCTTCAAAATCTGGAAAATCTGTGCATTCAAAACATAGATCATCTGTTCCGTCGCACCTTTCAAAAGTGTCTGATCGGCAAGAGAAACGTACCTCCACCCCAACAGATTTAGCTTGTGCCTTACCAGACTCAAGCAAACTTAGAACCAGCCATCTCAAATTGACACGACCACTCATTGAAAAGCTACAGTCTGCTGTTAGAGAAGAGAGAGTGGATTCTCCAGCTTCAATTGAAAGCAATGCCAGTCAGACAAGTACAAGAATTGATAATCATGCCTTGCTTCAAATTACTGGAACACTAAGGTCTAGACAGTGTGACATGAAACACCTTTATCCAATACCTCCATCATCACCTACAAGTATGCAAGTCAATAAAGTCTTACTGCAAACTAATGAAACTAATAGGTCTAGAGAACACAGCATGGAACACTTACAAGTACAACCAATACCTCCATCATCACCTACAAGCATGCAAGTTGATAATGACTTGCTACAAATTGATGACACTGATAGGTCTAGAGAAGGCGGCATGGAACACCTACATCCAATACCTCCAACATCACCTATCAGGTTTTGTGGCATTATACAAGAAAATGATGCTGATGCTGATAATCAAGCCAATGTGTGTCCATCTTTTCCAGTTTTAGAACAGCCACCTTCTCAYTTCCATGACAATATTACCCAAAGAACAGTTCAGTATCCACCTGGTTTACATCTTCCTAGGTTAAGTAAAKTAACTGAAATGGACGGTCAAGCTAATCCATTTGCTCACTCAAGTCTATCAAAACCCATGATTGACCCTTCAGGAGAAACAAGTCAGATAGACAGATTTTTTAATGAAGGTCCTCTGCTTCCGAAGCCTTTTGCTACTGATATAGATTTATACTCAGATGATGGAACAATCAGCTATAACTCATCTATACTTTCCACAAGTCCAACAGGTCGACCCATGAGATTCARGCAAAGGAAGTCTCCAAATGTTAAAAGAAACAAGGTCTCCAGCAGTTTCTAATGATAGGTGAGGAAGTAGATTTAGTTCAAGTTCCATGAAACACCATTTGATCTCTTAGGTCATTTGCTTATATTTAAATATATTAATAACAGTGGGTAGGGATGCTCTGTGACAAAATTAGCAATCTTGTACACTATTAGTTGGTGTAGAGGGCTTTCAAAATCTAGGGAATGCAAAGTTATTACCATTTACCCTGCATAGAAAAAGACAGTACAAAATTTAAAATTCCCTCATAATTTTGTTTGAAAGGCCAATCTGATTAAAATAAAACAATTATCCTGTAAGTTACAGTATTGGATTCTACACCCAACCAGACAAGAATCAGTCATTTCTAGAACCTAATGAGCATCCCTGTCCTTTTTTACTAAAAGTCTCATCACRGATACTAATATCCTCTTATGTTTTACTTGTTAATGTCCATGTATTCTCAAATTTGTATATATAAAATTACATTCTTATATTATATATATCACATATTTACTCAAAACATAGTTATAGTTCTATTTTATAACCATTTATTAAATCCCCCCTTTTTATTAATGCATTTTGGGTACTCCAAGTGGCAAACATTATATCTATATAGATTTTTTTTCKCATTCGTGGAATTTCAAACRAACCTGATTTAAATAAATATTATGTTGATGTTAAATTTTAAATGTCTCAAAAGAGAGGCATRCTTATTCATTGGAAATAATGATAATGATAATTCATAAATATGTAWTATAATGAAAGTTATTAAAATATTATAACCAGAGTCCTATTTTTGATTAAAATGCAAATGATAATAACTTATAATTATTGAAAGTATCTGCAGATATACAATCTGATCTGCAAGTGCTTTAGAAAATGAAATTAGAATGTGAAAATGTTCTCGCTGTAACACATGAACACAAAGTCTATCCACTTCCATTGTTCATATGTAATTAAAATATGTATGATTAAAGTTTTAATACAGCCTTTTGCAAAAATTATGAGAATTGTTGAAATATCTAAATATCATAATATCAAGTGCATGATGATGTAATCCCGCGCGATGCCCTTAGTCCCTTGTCTTTGTAGTTTTTTTTCTTTTTGGCGACGGACTTATCCGTAGTTCTGAACATTTTCTCGATGTCAACAATGAATTATTCTAGCAAACCCGCGTGTTCTGGACAATATATGGATTTGGATATTATGATATTTAGATATTTAGACAATTCTCATAATTTGTGCAAAAGGCTGTATATCATACTATGCTTGTATATATACATATCTATTGTACCATATGTAAATATAATTAATTAACATTAAATATTAGGTCAGGTTTTGAAAGTTTTAAGATATTTTAGTTGTTTCATGACAGCACTTGATACGTATCCCTATCTTAAACCATAATGCTCGATCYCTTTTATAGTCTCCTCTTTCAACTGTTATGAGGCCCATTCCCAATGAGATGGCACCTGGGAATGAGCCTCATAATGGCTGTGAGAGGAGACTATCCCTTTTATAGCTCCTGGTGCCATCTTGAAAGTTTTGTAATCAAGTCAAGAGTTGAGTGTCATATATATACCTGTAAATTTATGACAAATTRTACTTAGGTATGTTGAAGCTCAACTGCTGGCCYGATTYACTGAAAGCAGGACRTAACCTTTCAGGAGTGCACTTGAACTGTAAAAAAGTATTCAAAAACTGACTTAAAGATGACATTCTGTAAATATATAATGGTATATCAATTATTCCAGAGATGTATTTATTTTATATGCTTATATATGAAAATTGTTTAAAAAAATATGATAAAGATAGTGGTTATCAATCACTTTTATCGCTTAACAAAATATATTTTAATAAACAGTGTAATATATTCATAATCCTCATTGATAAATGATCATGAATATTTTTTGTTCATTAGGGACAATTCAATTAGTTTTCAATAAAATATGGGTCATAGATTTATTAAAAGTGAAAACGTTTTTATTATAACTTGTTAACATTCAGACTTAGAGTGAACTCACTTAATCTGAAATTGTTCTCATTATTTTATTTGTATTACTTCATGTAATTTAGTAAARTGGTGTTAATAAAGAACAATTATCGCTGAAAGTTGCAGAATAAACACGATTTTGTGTGTTTACTCTACTCGGTATACCACTACTGTATTCAACATAGCATCATGTTTTTTTTTTGTTTCTATGGAAACATTATAATACAGTAGCAACTATGCTGTACAACAGATGCCTTTACTTTACAATCRATAACTCAGGTCTTAGCAACAGATATTGAGAGTAAATGCCCCATGCTAGCTATTGCACTACTAAATCGTCATAAATTTAAAATTCCAGAACATGGCAAAGGACTAGTTGTCTGCTTTTAATAGCCTGCGTGCAGCCGAACCATAACAACAAGTTTTGGTTCAGCTGCACGCAGGCTAGCTTTTAATGATTTTATAAAAATACTGAATTTAGATCATGGCTGTGGTATATGTATCACACTTGGGGCAAGAAAGTGCTAGGTCATTCTTTTGCACATTTAGCTTAAAGATGTGAACCATTTAGTTTGAATGATTCTTGAATGCCAGGATAATATATATCTTATCTTATATTTCCTTTTTTAACATATATCAAACCTACAACAAATTTATGTTGTTCATCTTGATATAGAAAATATGTCTGTATTATGTACTCTCTAGAAGCCAYCGGCCTCATGGGCTATCATCTATCGAGAGATCTAATTGTTTTAGTATTACCATACTTGTTGGACGAAACATGAATTGAATATATAAATAACTAAATGTTTTTATTTTTAAAAATACGCAAAGTTGTCACTTTTCCCTAGTCAAGGAGGACTATTGAAAATAGACCCCGAGTGGCATAGATAATCAGAACGAAGGATTTACAATAGTCCACTAGTATGGTAATACTAATTGAATGTATACTACTATTGTACTATCTATCTTATGCAGTTTCAAAATCATTGTCATATAAACATAGAAAACAATAGATAAGTCACCAAACTGACCCAATCTATCACTATATCTTTATTTTGGCTTGGACAATGCTTTTGTGATAACATCTGAAGTCTAATATAATCAAGTAAAAAGACCTAAGTATTGATATTTGTGAAAGTAGGTCCATAAAAATCCAAAYTGCCCCATTGCTGTAAGTCAGACATGCATATTGTAAACTCTGTCACAGTACCTATATTTATAATCACTTCTATACAGTATATTATGACAGAAAATGTACAACTTCCATAAAAGAACATTATTTTTGTACTTATTATCAAACTTATACAAGCATKTTCTCATCTAATAAAAATGTGTACTATCATCGCAATGTTGGTYTGTAATTTATTAAACATGGAGTATATTGTGGAATAATGCTCTTGGAATATCGCATTAACAAATATCAGAAGGCAAGGAAAAAGTTGCGGCCTAAGCATTGTAAAAAGACTAGAATGTACCTGTATGGCAGGCTAGTAATGAGGTATTGGTTTCAGGGATCAGCGTCAGCTATTTTGGGATCAGGGATCAGGATTTAGGCCCAGGATCCAGATCAAATGGATTTAAACTGGGATCAAAGGTTTTTCAACTGGGATCAGGATCAGTGATTTTTTTTAACGATTCTGTAAGAGGATCAAGGATCAAGATGTGTGGAGTTTTGGGATTGGGATCATGTTTTTCCTGCCTGATGATCAACAGCAAAAAAATATACCTCGTTACCAGCCTGTGTATGGAGAGTGGATCATAACATCAGTTCCCTTTATCACAAATATTAAAGATATGAAACAATTATATCGGACTCTCCAATGATGTGAAATACATGGAAGTATGAATTGAGTTTTGAAAGACAGGATGATTTGTTTATAAGAATGGTTTTCAACTCAAAAATTGGCAGCTTGTGGAACATTAGCAAAAATTGAGATGTACATGAATTTTGGACACACAGGCCTGGGGAAACAATGCATGTTCGTACCATTTTTTAAGCAATCATGAATTGAGAAATAATGCAATCCCAAATTCTCTCAYGAATTGTCTTCTTTCTGATAGAAGTCAAAAATGCTGGCTCTGGTTATGAGATTGGAACTGGTGCAAAAAAGTTATGGAAGGTCTAAAGTATCCCCTTTACACCCTGGTCAGCCCAGCTAGATCCTCTTCCCGCCCTCCCCGACAAACACACAAACACAAAATAAAATACAAGATAAAACATGAGCAAAGATCAAACAATAAGAAAAATACTGAAGAAAAATCCAGAAACTGAAGTGTAGAAAAGAAAACTAAAGAAAGTTTTATGCCTTTGAAACAACAAAGCTACAATTGTAGTCAAAAAATTAAGTTTATAACTTATGTAAATTGGATTTTTCATTTACATATCTATGAGAAATTAAAGGACGAAAAAAACAAACATTCCAGTCTACGATTGATAAAAGGCAAASATTTTATGATAAAATATTGCTTTATCTGAGGAATAGCGAGAAACAAGGGGTAGTACTTAAGTTACTACTAGTATAAATTTGAACTCACCTTTGAGTGAATATGCCCAAAATAGCCACAAAAGAAGAATACCTTGTTCTTTGCCAACACGAATACAAATGTTTTCATTGCAAATTTCCCAAGAAATCGTCGATAAAAGCGAGAAGTACGCTTTCAACTCCTCTTACACCCCCACAAAGACGAAGTCCAGGATTCCAGGCGCGTTTGSAACCAATTGAGCAAAAAAGGCGCGCGTGGAAAAGTTTGATTGACAAGAGCGTTTTGTAAACAAACATCCCAAATTATCTAAAATTTGAATTAAAGATGTTTCAAAAAGCAGCATTTTTTAACAGCACATACAGTTAGGTGATGATTTGCGCCTTTAAAAGTAATCATTTCCWTTCAAAAAAAGCCAAAAGTGAGGAAATGTTTCTCACAGTTTTGATAAAGATAGCCCAGTAAAAAGCCCGCGCGCGGGAAAATGTAACACGTCATTCTAAGACCTATGGGTAATATGCTCTAACTGTCCCTTTTAGTCTAATAGGGGAGGGGTAAGTACTSGTTTTTCTCTTTTGTCTAATAAATTATTTTATTATCATAACTATGCAAAATAAACGCTTTATAATATACTTTATTTCTTTTCTATATTTCTAAGAATAGGAAATGAAATAAATACTTTCTTTTTTCTTTAAAATTTCTATTCATTTTTTTTTATTTTACCCCTCCCCAGGACAAAATTCTTGTCATCCAAGCTGGCTAACGGGCGCCTTATTTAAAACTGGAGTTTGACCAATCAGGTGATCGCATGAATTCTGTGCAGCATGCAACTCGGAAACATGGCGGATTTCGGTTCTCCTGGAACTCCGAGTCGACACGAAAAATCTCTTGGATTGCTCACWACAAAATTTGTGAGTTTACTCCAAGAGGCAAAAGATGGCGTCTTAGATCTCAAAGTTGTAAGTTAAACTGTTTTTGAAGCAATCTTGTGTCGTTTCGTGAGGTTTCGATCGTTCGAAGTGCCGCTTGAAGACTTGGCGGCTTTGTTGGCCATTCTTATTCAACTGTTTACAATAGGGTTATTTCTTCATCTAGGCGGCAGATACTTTAGCAGTTCGACAGAAGCGAAGAATATACGATATTACTAATGTTCTTGAGGGAATCGGACTCATCGAGAAGAAGTCAAAGAATAGCATTCAGTGGAAGTAAGCTAAGTAAAATTATGGGTACGGGTTTCCAGGGGGTAGAGCGGGAAGGCATCGAATCCCGCGTTAGCTAAAATTCCATTACACACTTTTCTATAGAGCTTTTACGCCAGATATGAACTCTTAGGGTTCTGTTTGTACAACGTTTTGAAAGCTTTTCTGTCTTGGAGGCAATCGTTTTRAATTCTGACACTTCGATATGGGAGTTCAATAATGTGACTATTGGTATATTTATCTATATTCATATCTATTGTTAAACAAGACTAGTGCCTTTTGTATCACATTCTGGCTCTATTAAGCGATGTGAAAAAATTATATTTCTATCATATTTTGAAAACATCCAGAAAGAAAACCATCTGAAATCCAAATGCTAGCCCAAACATAATTAATTAGCTTTAATTAGTATTCCAAATCATGAAAGATTGAATTTCAGTAATCTAACTTATTTCTGCTATTTTTATTTATTATTTCTCAGTGATTATCTCAGAAATTGTGCCTATTTTGATACGATTTTTTTTATACTGGCATTACTTGATATATTCAAGTGCTAAGATATGCAGAAATTGAAAAGTAACTCTGCAAAAACCTGTCAATCAGAATTCTCMAAATAAGTCAAAATGTAAACATCAGAAATGTCAATCACTTTAGTTTAATTAGACTGAAATGGGGTTTACTTTCTCTATAATAATATTGATTGTAATGAAGAATAGTAGAAGTTAGTATTTAATTTTCCCCTTGACTGGGGCTGTGATATTGCACTTGTTCCACATCAAGAAGAGGTTGRAGATGTATTGGAATCTCTTCTCATAAAATAACTCCTTATGTTTTTTWATATAGATTTTATTATTTTAGAATAAAATCTTTGTCCATCAACTGTGAAAAGAAAATAACTATGTAGTTGGTAATAGTTKACAAGAACACAACAAAACAATGAGTTTGAATTTTCCAACTAAATACACRACCTACTATTCCTTCATGGTCAATAGAATGGTCACTCTATTATATTTTATCATAAATTATGTACTAAAAGTGTTGATATTTATCATTTTAATATATTTAACAAATTGCATCTACAGTTTTAACTTGTATACCYTCTTATTGACAAACTCTTATTATTACAAAAGTCAATTCAATTTAAAGTTTTGATCATTTTACTGGAATACTTACATGCAGCTTAACTGCTAAGTCCTTATTCAAGTTWTATGTRACATGTTTATGTGATCACAGGGGAGCTGGTCCAGGATGCAACACAAGRGAAATATCCGACAAATTAGTTGATTTAAAACGAGAACTTGAAGACCTTGACTWTAAAGAAAAAGAATTAGATGAACAGCGAATATGGGTTCAACAAAGTCTAAAAAACATATCAGAGGACACTGAAAATGAGAAGCTTGCATTTGTAACATATGAYGACGTGTGTAAATCATTTACTGGCGATACTTTACTTGCTATTCAAGCGCCATCTGGAACACAACTTGAAGTGCCAATCCCTGAAGTGGTAAATACCAAAATTTCTTTATCAGACTACTTTGGGTTCTCTCTCTTATATGTAGTTAAAAATAGAAGTAATAAAAAGTTGTAGTGYTTGGTAAGGAGTTTTTTTCCACTGGGATGAAAAAATTTATGATCTTCGGATTTGTTTTAACAATGCTTTACCAGCTGAGCTGGTAAAGACAAGGAGCAGTAATAGAGACTAGTAGRTTGACTGAATAATCGATCTGCTCTATCGAAAAAAAGCTTATTAGTTTTGCTCAACTTGCTTTACTCCAACAAAGTATTAACATCCGAAACATCAGTAAGTTGTTTCATCTATTTTATTTTGTATTTTATGTAGTTAAAATTTATTTTATTGCAMAATTGTTCCTTCAGCACCATCCAGGAATGTCGAGACGATATCAAATTCATCTCAAAAGTCAAGCTGGACCAATTCACGTTCTTCTTGTAAACAAGGATGCATCWGCTGATAGTCCTGTAGTCACTCCCGTACCTCCTCCTTGTGCAGAGACAAATGGCAACAGTGCACAAAGCCTCCAGCAAGAGGCAATGGAAACTGATGTGCCAAAGTCAACTCTTAGCAAATCCAATGCTGGTGCAGGCACTAGTAGTGGTGTTAAAACAGAGGTGGTGGAGTCAAGTCAAGGTGAGATACTTGGAAATATGTGGAAATTTATAAGTATGATTTTCTTTTAGTTGTCATAAATAAGTTTTCCATAATACCAATGTGCAAGCATAAGAACTTTTGCATGGTTCTTTGCTTGAGATATAACTGGATTTCATGCTATTTTGGTTTATAATGATATGATTTTTAAGTGGCCTGTTCGTAAAAGAACATTGTTTGTCCAGTTTGAGTTCTGGTACATGTATTGGCATATGTAACCATGTAATCCATACTCTGGCAAGCGTTTACTCAGATCCAAACTGGGCTTTTTTAAGCAACAACTCAGCCAAATAATAGCAGATTTAAAATAAACCAATTTTKAATGAAAATTTGTACCCTGGCATGCTAACTGGTACCACTACAGGGATTTCATTAATTTTGAGTAGGCTTCATAATTTTTGAAGTATGCCTTAGGAAACTGTTAGACAGCTGTCTTCCTCAAAGGGAAAGTAATTTTGTGCATTAAAATATTAGAAATTAGGCAGCAAAATCAAAGGAGTAGATGGCAAAATTCTTCTGTTGCCACCTTCTAATAGCCCTGCAATTATAGCAAGAAGCTAAAAGTGTAAAACTGAAAGATCTTGAATTGACTGGGACTGAAATAACTTTCATTCTCCAATGATTAAGCTAATGATTTTAATAGTACGCAATGCACTGCCCTTGATATGAAWTGATACTAATACTAATGAGATATTTTAAGTCATGAGATAAGTTCACTTAGCCTCATCTGCAGGAAGTCCTTCATTTTGTCATTTTGGATATCCTCTGATATCCTCTTGGCTGAGAAGGTGCCTTAGGTGAATTAATCCCATATCCCCCTATGATCTCATAATAAGAAAACAGGTAGCCCAATGCTATTATTAAGGGGAAAAGAAAGAGAGGCGCCTGCAGAGGAGACAATAGTTTACTATAACTGATAGTGCTATCCACCAGATGAATAATGCATGTATTTATGAAGTGGATAACTTTGTCCATCCTTCATACAGCTGGCCACTTATTATTTTGTTTTAAGCTATGTCTTTTCTTGCCAAACAAAAGAAAAGGAATAGAGCAGATTTCATACCACTGGGCAAAAATAAACAGCAATTTTGTGCCAAGACCATGTTGTGTTTGACAGTTATGTATTCTTGAAACAGTAGAGAGTTTAAGTGTCTAACAGCAGAGCTGAACCAATGACCTAAGAATTTCATGCCCAACCTTGTGCTTTTGGTAGTCATTTAAAAGAACAACTTTTCGCGATTATGGCAACCTCAAAATAACCCACTCTTGTGTTGAAACTCTAACGAAAAACCCCCCAAAAACAGGTCACATGTTTTTTAAGCTGATTGCACTTTGCTGTGAACGTCATGCTTAAGCTCTCTAAACTTTTCATTTTGGCATCAATGTTAGGTGAGGTTTCTTGAATGTGCCTTAACAAAATCATATKAAGTCTGCTCTATTCCAGCTAATAATGTAATTAACATAATAATTAGTTAACTGCAATACCTTATAATGCCACATGCAATGTTGTCAGATTGTATTTCAAAGCAAGCATGTCRCTSCAAGCTTATCATTTTATAATCAGCGAGTCGGAGMTTTCAGTATCTCTATTTTCATTGCTTTTTATTTTTTATTACCTCAGCTAAAGAGCTTAAAGAAGTTGCTAATGACATAATCTTTGGAAATGGTAAAGGTCTGTTTTAGTGTTAACTTAAAGCAAAAAAACCTTGTCCTCCTGTCAAAAGTTTCAAACTTGCACTTGAATTTTTGGCTATTATGAACTGTCAAWCATATAGAARTGGTGGAGATTTGATATTCTCTCATTGGTTGGAYTATTATTTGATTGACAGGTCAGAAAAAGCCAAACATCTAAATGAGAGTTTRAAACTGTGAAAAGGTTTTTGTAGACAATAGGACTTTGCGAGCTACCTGTAGAGTCCTTGTTTGTTCCTCAAGTAGTGCTTCATAGCCTTTGAAGGATAACAAAAAATATGAAGGGAGGAAAGAAAAAAATGGGTCTTAGACTCCTTTTTGCTATCATGGCCACTGATGACTGGCCAATCAATAGTTGCCAAAATTGATAGTGGCACTACATGTGGTGCTGAACTCCCACATTAACAATGTTTTATATAAGTATTGTTTAAGCAAGGTTTTATACAATTTTTTAATTTGAATCTTCATCTTCAGARCCTGGTAATATTGCTGATGAAGTAATAGATGAACTTATGTCAGCTGAAGGTATGTTTGGATGATAATTTATCAATTATATCAATGGAACTTTTCCATAGAGTGCTCGCACTAAATGCGTGAAATATAATTACTACAAAATAGGTGATAAATTATACAAATTCCTTTGTCTTCTATTGTATAATCAACACTATTTAGTAGTAATTAGTACTATTTGTTTCACGCTTTAAGTGCGAGCACTCTATCATGATGAATACATGCCTTGTTTTTGACTTGTACAAAGCATTCCCTTAGCACTTTTCCTAAAGTTGGAACATCCATTCTTTCATGTTGTCATATGAAAACATTACAATAGTCTTTTTCATGGTTCCCTGCGCCATCTTGAAAGGTRCCTTTCCATCGAAGCAAGACGACCATTGAGTGTGTAATGATAGAAACCTTCTGTCACACTTGCAGACAATAGTCACAGGTTTCAATGGTCGTCTTGTTTTGATGTAAAGGCACGGCTACCTTTCAAGATGGTGCAGGGAAGCATGAAGGAGACTATTCTTACAAATATTTCTCTCTTTCAGTTTATGCACCTTTATTAAGACTGTCGCCACCACCTGGYGATCATGATTACTAYTTCAAYTTGGACGACAACGAGGGAGTTTGTGATCTTTTTGATATTCCAAACCTGGACACCATGAACCTGTCTTCAGCATCTTGAAGGAATGGATCTGTAGCATTTATTTGATTGTATMCTAAAAGCTAGACTGATAAAATTATAAGCATACTCTAGAATCTCTTTATTTGGGCTCTGTACATGGGCCTTAATTACTCAGTGTTCGTAAGATTGAGGTGCTGACATACCAGACATAATATGGAGCTTTATGGAACCTTTATTAGGACTCCAAAGTGCTACTTAAAGGTTTCCATGATATGGAGGTAATATAGGGACACTGAAAAGCGTCCATAAGATGTAGGTGTTGATATACAATTAAGAGCTGTGGATTGTCTAATATATAGACACCAAAGGACCATTGAAAATTGTCCATGATATACAGGTGCTGACATATCATCTTTGATATGGAGCCATTRGGGAACATCTAATATAGACACAAAAGGACCTTTGAAAAAGTACTTAGTGGTGCTAAAAGCTATTGGGCTTTGGTCATAATGGGACATTTTCAAGTGTCCGTAATAACTAAGGTGCTGTAATATGTATGAAGATATGGGACCTYTACTGGTGACAGCAAATTGGATTTCTTAGTGTCTATATTATATGAATGCCCAAGGACCATCCGGGTTTTCAGTAAAAACTATAAGTAGATGTCAAAATAGAACAAATACTTATCAGTTTTCTGCAATCAGTTAACAAACAACAACCAAATAATTCACAAATAAATTCGTAAGTAGCGGGCAATTAACTATATACACCAGCTATAACTGGTGATTTTCGCCGGCTGGCGTCTTCTACTGAGAACCCTGGACCATACGATTTGATGAATCTACTTGATTCCTACATGCAATTCAAGCTTTGTTAACTAATCTATCTTCGATTACATAATATAGTTTAAAATCCATAGACTTCAATATTGACACAAATTATGCAAACAATTTGCCTGTCATGGATAGGTTTCACTGGTTTGTGACATTCATAACATCAACAATTATCATTCTGTTCTCATAATTATGATGAATATTCTTTAGCTTTTACTAGTAGAATGTTATAAAAGCTTTTGGTCTACATTAGACCACTAAAATCTTTGAAGTTATTCTAAACAATGAGCCAATGTGAAAATTCATACCTTTTTTCGTGAAAGCTAGTAAAAAATTGAATGTCTTCTTTTGTATGTATGAAAAGCTATATAGCACTATATKTTTTGGTAGAAAGGTTAATTCACAAACTACTTTGCTCATTCAGCTTTTTTTGCCCTGATTGAAACAAGAATTTTGCTTTGTGACTTGAGAAGTTCAGCTGAAACAATTGCATTGCAAGATGGTAATTTTACCAAGTTGCCTGAATTGTATTCAAAATCACTACGCCACTAGTTMCTTACTCAAAGAATATTTATTTAAAAAAATCAAGGCYTTGTGCCTTTACATTCATTTCTGMTTTTGGCRAAACAATATCTCAGCTCAGAGCTGAATAATTTGTTTCTTGTTTAATTGAAATGTTACGCAGAGAATTCAAAGATTACAACGATATTAAATGCGAATTTTGCAACACTAAGAATAGCTACACTACTGATTAYAGTGAATAATTCTAGTCTCGTTGCTTAGTTGTTTGACTTAGAAGTTTAATTAGAGGGTTTTGATATGAATTATGTCAGGGATTATAACATTTTGTATGATAGGAATAACAAAATTAGCTAATAATGATTCTCTTATAGCTTGTTAGGAGCACATTCTTAGGAATCCAGGAGATTTATTCCACCAATTAAGACCAAATTAGACAACACAACTTTTRCCTACAGCCATCACTTCCAACCTGAGTAAGTCTTTCTTGCAACATGGCTACAACTCTGATAGAGCTAGTAAAAATATTTTTTTCAATCTCTTCAACAGTGTTKTAGCCAGCTTACAAGGATGGCTTAYGCAGATGGCATRCAACAGTTGTAGATAAAAGATGTGCCATCAAATTTGACCTTTAGGCCTACATATCATTSAGGGTCATACAATATGACATTACGYTGTGAARTTGGWTTTAAAATTTTCCTCTAGCTCTTGACACAGTCATTCTACTTATTCTACAATAATAAGACAAATATTAATATTTGAAAGAATTATTTCAATAGTTTGGTGGAATAAGCTCAGAAATAATGGTTCATACATRACTTTGTGTGTATTATTTTTCAAGATATATATTTTAGTGGAATGGGAAAACAATACTGGGTTCCTATGAATGTACTAATATTTGTATCACCTCTAGCATTTTTGTGATGTCAATGGAAGATTAGGTCTAAAAGAAAAGGGATGAAATACTTTCCTAATGTGCCATGGGCACCACCAGGCTCTTTGCACTAATACAAAGCACTCATTCACAGATACGAATCCAAATTACAACAACCTTAAGTTAATTTATAGATTTTTTGTGGAAAAATTATTTGTGTGTGTAATTGTACACCCTTGCATATTTTTGTATATATCTTATAATAAAGCATTTATCCAAGAAAAACTGTGCAATAACTTTATACTTTTGTATAAATGAAGTAGTCTTCAAGACAATAGTGCATATTTTTAAAGTCCAAGTTTATAATGAAAACTCAAAACATCTTCATTGACGAAGGAAACTGGATGGTTCCCAAATTTAAGCTCATTCATACTCTTAGTTTWTGAAAAAACTCTTGATTATYTAGTTGTGTAAAAAGATGAAAAAGTAGATGATAGTAAGTTGTTTCACCTGCTTTTTACAGTGTYAAAATTTATCTTTTTACACAACTGTTTCTTTAGAAACACTGATGAAGCTCACGCTAATTCACCACTAGTTTCCACGTTCTTGATTATCTATTTGAACAATACATAAATCTTATCAAAATCTTAATGCTGTTAGAATGATCTAGATATTTCAGACATTGGTAATCTGAGGAACACAGCCAAGAACCATGCCTAAAAAAACTGCAGTACATTTTTTCTTGCTTATACAATTTCATGAGAAACACTTGTTCAACCAGGGGTGGATCTGGAAATTTTAAAGGGTGGAATTCTGCATCTGTTGAGGTCGTGGGAGATGAAATGCTTCTAATTGAATTGAGGTTCCCTGATTACAGTATTTGCATGGAACTGTTTGTACCATATTAATTTTTTTCCTCTCTTTCTTAAATAGACCTTGCAGACATTGTAATGAGATTAGCAGGAAAACAGAAAAAAGGAATTTAAAGGGTTAAAAGGAAGACAGCAAAAATGTAAGCAGAGCTATGAATATGTWATTATTCTAGTCTAGAACAGAAATATTGTTGTTATAAGACAGGGAAGTGCATGTGCAATCATGGCACACTTTGGCTGAAAAAATTCAGTCTTGTTTGTGTTTATCTTTTTTCTATTCCTACATCTTTACAYATTTTCACTTCAACATAGTTTTTCCTCTCTGCAATTCTCATAGAATTTTGCAATACCGAAGTTCAGATGAGAAAGAAAAAATGCACCTCAAGGAACTCATTCTGAAAAACAACCAAAGCAGTGTTCATCTSAAAGAAATCTCATTTGCCAMAACCCTTATCTATCCTTRTAGTATTTGTTCTTCAGTTACCTGCACCCTTTGTAATAGTCTCCTTAGTCTCCTTCGCAGCCTACCCTTTTGTCGGGCTTCCTGTCCCTCCTTAGACTACCTTTGTAATGTACTGGGACACTTTTCCCCACATTCCTTTCTGCCACTTAAACATTTAATATCACAGTGATTTTTACTTGGTAACAATATGCAGGCAATCCATTAACGTTGTTCAGTTGTAATGATGTAAAGACAACAACAAATTGATTTGCAAATATCATATTTTTGATTTCTTTTCAAGAATATTCAGAATACAGTGCCAAAAACTCTTAATTACAATGTCAATAACATTTAATTCGCTATATATCTAAAGTTTAGAATTAAAATTTTGGAGAAGTATTCCAAAAAAAGTTTATTATTTGTTGTTGTTTTTATGTCTTTACAAGTGAACAACATTAATGGGATTGACTGTATATATATTTCTTGTCATCAAAAAATTTTTAATTCGGATTTATTTTCTATTCATTAAAACTATGTTAAGTATTCTCRGTTATAATGTTCCTCCTTAATGATGACATCACACCTTTACATACACTTTGACGTCAAAGCTACGCCTGTTAAAAAATTGAATAGTTGCCTTATGATGTTTACTTGATAGAAATAATGACCATGAAATCCTCAGTTGTGTGAAAATAATAGCTTTTGCCTCAAATAATTTAAATCATTCTATCAGCATTGTTAGGATTTCTTTAACTATCCTAAGTCACGGTCAATTAGTTAATTAACACAATGAATTTTCAATAGACCATGCCAATACTAAGAGAATACAGTTGGGGTTTCTCTATAGAAAATGACTGAATCAATGYAMAAGAGTGTAAAACAAGTCTTTSTAAAAGTTTTCCAAGMTTGCAGAGAATTTTTCCCTGTGGTTTTGTCAAGTTGAATCAGCTAAAAAATCATTTATCATATCTTCAACTACGTTGGAATGCTTATATTAGTCTCGGCTATTGTTTAATTATGGCTGTTTATAGATCAATACTACTAAGTTGCCATGGAGACGTGTTCTTATCTCACCACCGTAGACCCAGGGGGGGTTGAGCATCATTTGTTATTTTTATCGTAGTTTGGACGTAACCAATGTGACAATRTTTGCATATTGTGATTTTAATCTGTTTTTGGTTAATGTAATTGTCGTCTGGTTTGTATTGCGTCATGTGCTTTCRTGTTMATTTAGCGCGAACATGTTATAATGTAGTGTTTTGATTTTYATGCGTTTTGATTGCTTTTACATGKACAAAGCTGCTCGCAATTGGTTCTTTTTTATCACATTATATTGCCTACTATATTTCTTATTTTTCTTTATTTTATATCTCTTTCATATTTTCCCATAATTCACCAAAGAACGTTTTTGTCTCCTCGTTCTTTTACGCTWTAYACGCCAGTTCCTTTTTTCTGAGGTTTCAACTTTCTGTTTTTCAGCACCTTWTGAGCAGACAGCTTGACATCTTACATACACAAATCCCCTCGTGTCTGACCTCAAACTTCACAAATTTGCGTAAAAGTATATCAAATTGCAAGAATACTTCAAACCCGGAACGAGAATACTGCAGTCATCCCCCTCCTTAGGTACCTAAAAGTGCTACAGCTCCCCCCTCCTGACTGGCAGTTTTCCTTGTGACCGACTTGTTCGCCTACAATGCGGCACTTCTTCGGGCTGCAGTTGTAGATTAAGWCAGTTTAATTGCTGTTAAGAAGATATCAAAAACAGAGATTCTTCAAGGCGTTAGGGCATCTCTTTCGCCAATATGTCGGGAGAATCGTAAGTATATTACAGGAACGGASATTGTAGACTTTCGTAACTTTATTGACTTCGTTCTGCTTTAAATCAGGGTGAAAGTCGCTGTACGTGTTCGGCCCTTCAATTCCAGGTACTGCTTCTGAACAAGCCAGATTTTATCGCGAAATTTATGTTTCTTTTCTAAGTTGATGTTTGCTTTCCAGGGAGAAAGATCGAGGTTCAAAATGTTGTATTGAAATGCAAGGGGCACTGACACAAATCAGTGACCCAGATAACCCAGGTACGTTTCTTCTTCGAGTTTTTGGAATGTRTGCTGAAAAATGGACTTCTTATCCTACGACAGYTCCTGTTTAAGTTACGTTTGCTTTCACTCTTAGTAACTATCTTTCATCTTTATCTTTAGGAGCTGCGCCGAAAGATGTAAGTCGAAAATAGTTACATACACCCGTATTATTGTGTCATCGTTTTGTATGATGAACTATAACACAAAWCCGTGAAATCTTCTTCAATTTTACATCAACAATAATATTGTTTTACTAACTAATTTTTTATCTTTTTTATGTTAGTTTACTTTCGACTTTTCGTACTGGTAAGTTAAAAGGAGATATGCTATATGWTTTTGATCCCAATCGAAGCCAGCATAGTTACATCACTATAAACGTTACCAACGAAATTAACATGTGCGGTTTCCTGAAATGTACATGTTTAATATCGCGATCAAAACTTCTCGAATGTCATCTTGATCGAGTGTTCTACTGTTAATTTCAGCTACTTGTGAATTCTAAATGGCTTAAGTGGATTTTTTAATTTTTTTTTTGCAGGTCTCATTCGGGGATGCAAGAGGATGAAAACGGTTACCTCCATCCTGCAATTGAGAAATACGCAGATCAAAGAAAGGTTTTTAATGATCTYGGAGCTGGTGTTTTGAAGAATGCATTCGAGGGTKAGTAAAAAAGCGCAAATCGTATTAATCTTCTAAAGAGAATAATTGATGCATTTTACTTTGTACTTAATAGGACCGAAAAACATTGTATTTTTACCACGGATACACATATATTGCTAGTATTCTTCATATAAATATAATCCTTACGTTTTCTTTAATTCCAAATCGACGTATTATGAAACAATTAAAATTTAGCAGGACTCATTTTCTAAGAAAATTAGCAAGTGAATTGATACTATATGACTTAGGTATTGAAGTTGGGARTTAAAATTTGAATGACAATTGCATGCAGATTGTTCAAAAAGATTAACATTTCTTGGTATTTTTTCTCTCTATAAGATGGTGAAATTGATATAAAATGATAACTTTTAAAGATATCTTTTGTATGGTGAATTTAGTGGAATTACAGTATGATTGGCATCTAGATTGTGAAATTGTTTCCAGTGTAAAGTAAATGTTGGACTAAGAAACTGAGTTTTTAAGAGACAAGCAAACAATYTTTGCGTTGACACTTGACAACTTTATATTATAGAGTAAAACATAGAAAAGTCAAATTCCGAATGAAAATGTTTTGACAATATACCTCTCAAATACAAATSAAGTATATGTTCAATTAAAAAAGTCTAATTAGTTCTGAACCCTGTTCATAATATATCATCTTTCCTGTAGGATTTGGGATTGTTTTATTCTTTGCAATTAATACACACATGTTTTCTAACTAATGTCAACAATTCAAGAGTTGCCAAGTTTTCTTTTTGTACAAATTTGTTTTCATCTTAATTGTGTCAGACTATTTGAGTTTCTGGTTTTGTTCCTCTGTGATTRTTAGTTTCTGAGAAAATTGCATTTCACCTTAATTAATTTGGCAAAGTTTAAGAAGTGAAGTGAGATTCATAAGTGTCAATTAAATTGGATCTGTTTTGAGACTTAAAGTGCAAACAAAAAAGTACAATGTCTATAGTGCATTASGTATATACTTTATATCAGTAAAGAGTTTGATAATTAGAATCATTYTTTAACTATTTAGCTTCATTCAGTTCAAAAATTCATGTTTTAGAATTTTTTTTTTTTTTCAAAGACAAATATGTATTTATGTTGCAAACAGTTTATTATCTTGTCAATCAAAAAGTGTGTGGCATGYGCACACAAGGAATAATATTGGAACCTGTATATGTATCCAAATATATGATTGTYTTGGTGGGAACCTTTTTGTCAATTGATTGAATGCAAATTTGTGTTGGCTTGATATACTGTACAGATTTTTGGTATGTTTGAAATTGTAAAAATGTAGAAAAGTTTAGATGATAAAAAGTTATTATTATTAATGWTGCATGATATTCATGCTCAACCCCCAAAAAATGCATAATCCAGTTCGCACCAAGATGAATATTACCATATCAATCATCAATAGGAACAGTACTTTAATTGGTACCTGCWTATGAAGTTAAACTTGGGGTCCTGTCTCCTTACACCACATAAAAGGGCCACTGAKAATGCAACAAGCACAGTCTGACCAGACTTAGTTACTGGATCATTCAAAAAGTCTCACTGTCTTCAGGAACACTTTAAATTCAAGCCTAGCACTGATGTTTCCATTACTATCCATTGATAAAAGTAAAATAAGTAATAAATAAATCATACAATCTCTCCATTAAATATTTTTTGAAAATAGCAGGGTATACCTCAACTTATTGATTTATATAACCTATGAAAAGTATTTATTTTGTGTAATATAAACACTTTTGTTATTGGTTCTTAAAAAAAAAACAGAAAAAAAGCATTACGGCTAATTTTTATTCTTAATTTCTATAGCTGACATTGTATAAAATTCATATATTAGCTGAATTTACATTGATAAATCCATATCATTGCTGTTGATAGAAGATTAAAGTCAGATAAAAAGAGACAATAGCGGCTTATGGATGTTGACAGCCATGAATTAAAATAATCACCAGTTATCACTAGGGTACTTGAATCTAAACATGCAATCAATTTCCATTGCTATGGARACCAAAACTAAAGCACAACATCTGAGTGTTTAAAATATTGACAGTTTTTTTTTATAGATAGCTTACTGGAGGGGGCTGCATTAAAATGATAAAGTTCTAAAAAACTTTCCATTTGATTTTCTAGTGCAATTAGGACCTCCACTATTACCAAGGGCATTCAACCATTAATTAACTATTAATGAATTATGATTTTTCTATCATATACATGCAGTTACAAGCTTATTGTCACTTCATTTGTTAAAATGTTTTTTCTAGCCTGAGTATAGGGGGAGGGGGGGAGGGTATATTGCTCCTGTTGTATCTCCTTCTTGAAGGTCTCAAAATGACCTGGTACAAGAAGTATGGGCTTGTGAAAGATCATTCCTGTGTTTTGAAGTTGCTGAGTTGCTGATACAAAAAATCTTTGCACAGACAACTGATAAACACCAAGAAACATTGATAATAAAAAAATCCATTTTCATTTGTTATGCAAATGTATTATTATAGGTATATTTTGATTTAGATTCTGTTGTTAAATGTTTTTTTTCAGGCTTCAATTGTTCTCTTTTTGCTTATGGTCAAACTGGTGCTGGTAAATCATATTCTATGGTGGGATATGGTGTTAACAAGTAAGTTGCCTGTTCTTGGATGTTTAGTTGATTATATTATCAATTTTTAATTGATTGATTGACTGAATGATAGCTTTATTTGATTGATTGATTGATTGATTGATTGATTGATTGATTGATTGATTGATTGATTTAATATTCTACTGATTATATAAATGGTTCTTTTTATAATTAATATGTTTATTTGTTTTAACTTTTTATTCTAATTTCCAGGGGTATTGTTCCTATTACTTGTGATGAGTTATTCAAGCGTATGGATGCTAACACAGATGCTGGTGTTGTAAGTATTCAAGACCAACACACATCATCAAAGTAAATGCATTCATAACTTCATTTTTCTTTGAATAATATATTTTACTAAGTACAGTGTATGTTTAGAAGATCTATATAATGTACAACTATTTAATGTTGTTTTACTGCTATCTTGTACCTCAGAAATACCAAGTAACGTTCAGTATGTTGGAGATTTATAATGAACAAGTTCGTGATTTGTTGACTAAAGATAATCCCAAAGGAGGTCTTCAGGTATTTGAAAACTTTATTTCTTATCCATTTCAACTATAGATGCAAGGAAAAAATAAGACCAATAATCTGGGGCCTGCTGTATGAGCTGTTTAGTGCTGACCCCCAAATAAAACCTTGCAAAGTCTGGAATAACTTAAYAAGTATTTGCTCTTTGTGCAACTGGCCCCATAAGTGCAAAACATAAGCCATGTAACAACAACAAAGCATTGAAATTTTAGAAAGTAATTCAAACCAGCTGAATGCAGGCTATACATAAAGTACTTCAAGTCAAAAGTAACATGTAGAGTTTGTCATGTTAACTGGTACTAATCTTGTCCTTGAGTTGCATTAGACAAAGCTACAGTCTATATTTGTGGATGGMCTAAGAATTTGGCTGATTTTTGATTGATCAATATTATTTTATTTTACCATGCTTTGTTATTTTTGTTAGGTTCGTCAAAACCCAAAAGAAAACTCCTTCTTTGTCCAAGGCCTCAAAAAAGTAGCTGTTGGTAGTTATAAAGAAATTGAAAAGAGAACAGATGAAGGTACTGATAAAACCTTTTTATTTACATTTATTGTACTCTCCCTTCTTTAGCAAAAAGTCTCCATTCTTTTGCAGTTCTCTTAGCCATCTTCATATCATGCTTAACGTCATCCAATAATCTTTATCAATCATCAGCAATAAGTTCTGTTTCTTGCTTACAGGCACATCAAATAGAACTGTTGCTGCAACACAGATGAACGCAACAAGTTCACGTGCCCACACGGTAGTTACAATCATGTTTGACCAAATTTCCAAGAATGAATCAGGACAGGAAACAAAGAAAAGTAGTTATATTAACCTGGTGGATTTAGCAGGTAAGATCAAAGGGTTGAYRCTATTAATTACACTCATYGGCACTGATAAGTTTGGTTGTGGTTGAATGGAAGATGTCAACAAGGAATTACACATCCCTAGTCAATAAGGCAGTAACCATGGAACCACCATCAAAACTCCATTGCTTTACATGTATACTTACCAGGAAGTGGTTGGTGGGAGCAGCAATATTATAATCACAAAGACCAGGGGTAATCCTATAATCCTACACACGCTTAGGCGACCACTGACCATGGAACCACCATCACAACAATAGGGAGTTTTAGATTTGAGAACGAAGACGAGGACGAGGACGAAGTTTCGAAAATTCGCCGTTACAGGTTACGACAGCTCATGAAATGTCACGCAACTTCGTTGTCTCCTTGCTGAGGATGACGAAGTTTTTACCAAACTTCGTTCTGTCCAAAACGAAGTTTTTAACAGCTTTTCTTAGACTTATTTTGCACTGAAAATCTGAAGAAAATGCACGAACATCGACTTTGGTCATCCCTTGTTTTACTTTGAGCAATAAATGTGCGGAAATATCCTTAATTTGTGCTAAGATTGGCATAAACTAAACCATGTCAAATTAGTTTTTCAGAGCGAATTAGGAATTTCTTTTGAATATGCGCGAGCAAGCTAACCACATCAAAGTTGTGCGCGCTCACCAACTTCGTCCTCGTCCTCGTCTTCGTTCTCAAATCTAAAGCTCCCTAATGATGATGATGACGACGACGACGATGATGATGATGATGATGTTGTTGTTGATGATGATGAAAGTGATGATAAGGATGATGTTGATTTTGATGATGATGATTGAAATAATGTGCTTGTGATTGCAGGTAGTGAAAGAGCTGACAGTACAGGTGCAACTGGAGACAGACTRAAGGAAGGAGCCAACATCAACAAGTCATTGTCTGCTCTCGGCAATGTCATTTCTGCCCTTGCTGACTTGTCCATGGGTAAAAAGAAAGTGCTGGTTCCATATCGAGACTCTGTACTTACAAAACTATTACAAAATGCCTTGGGTGGTAACAGTAAAACTATTATGATTGCTGCTCTGTCTCCTGCTGATATCAACTATGATGAAACTCTTAGTACCCTTAGGTATGTAGGAATTCAAGCATTTTGTTCATGTTATATAATATWATTGTTCTTCTCGGAATTGCCCTATGGCATACTGACGTCACAGTATGTTTACATTGTGGATAGACGCTAAGAAAGACTTGAAATTTGGAACTATTAATATTCTTTCCAATAGTAGAGCTTTAGTGTATCGAGTTTTGGTGTACATCATTTATCAATGATAGCTCATGTACATTTTATTTGATATGCAGTCACTCTGGATCTCCACTTGCGACCATAATCCTTAGCGTTACAAAACAATACAAAAAAACAATGTTTTGGTTTGATGTAATTATGAGATTGCACACACATTTTGTGGTTTAAACATTCTTGTCTTTGATACATGTTTGATACTCTCAGATATGCTGACCGTGCAAAAAAGATCAAAAACAAAGCCGTTGTCAATGAAAATCCCATGGATAAGCTGATTAGAGAATTGAAAGAAGAGAACGATAAACTGAAAAAAGCRCTRGATGGAGGTGCATTACCTGTTGGTGGAGGTGGTAACATGACACCTGAAGGTAATTAGTTCTGAAATGCTCGTTCATCCTGTTTCATATCTCAGAATTTTGTGCAATTATTTGTTTTCATTTTTTCTGTTTTCATTCATCAGTTCATTCTTTCATTCATTCATTCATCCATCCATCCATTTGTTTATTTATTGCTTTATTTGTTCATTCATTCCCTCATTCCTGTTCTTATTTTTCATTTGTTTGTTTTTTTATACAAGACTTTCAAAAATGGCRGTAGTTCATGACCGCCAATATTGGTTGACTATAGTAATGAATCATGAAAAAAGACCTCAAAGGCCTTACATCTAGAAATCACTACAAAGACTGCATGTATGTAGTGTCCAAAAGTTTGAAGGATGTATTGATATGTTATTTATAACAAAACAATATTGCAACAAGACACCATCAAAGTTAACTAAAACAGAGGCTGGCCTTTGAGACCTTGTTTTACTCGTGCTTCATCCCCAGTGCCCTGGTCGACGACTGTAACTTATCACAACATGTTTTTTGAATTTTTGTTTGAATATAGAGTTGGCAAAAATGCGCAAAGAGATGGAGGAAACAATTCGTGCTCAACTTGAAGCAAACATGGAAAACATGACAAGCTGGGATGAAAAGGTWAAAGAACAAAAGAAAATACAATACATAAAATTATAGTACATCTTGCTGTGGCCCCCATTCTTGCCGAACAGAATTTTTTCTTTCAACTAATAATATAAAGACACAGGAACACATTGAAAAATAAAATAACTCCCAAAACACATTGTCATTGTTTTTCATTTATCCTTTGCATTTTCAATTGGAGGTAAGTAAGTTGATAAAGCAAATTAAGCAAATTCACCCATTAATTTTTCACCATTTTTSACTAAGGTCTCCCTTTGATGTATCTGCCCTGTATTGTGTAACATTGAATGATGATAGTCATTATCAATTTAATTGTTATTATAAACAGCTTCAAGTGCAGAGAAACGAAGACATGAGTGCAGATAATGAAGCCRGCGAAAGAGCTAAAAAGCTTAATTCAGTGCCACACATTGTAAACCTGAATGAGGACTCTCTRCTTTCTGGTGTAGTTGTACACTTCTTGGATAAAGGTAAAAACAATGCTATCAACATGTGCTTTATCACTTATTAACCTTGTAGTTTCTTGAAGTCTTCTTGTTCTATTAAGTTTTGTGTCATTTCATGGACACTCAACCTTATTTTTCAGCTGCCTCTAAAATCTTCATTAAAATGATGCCTTTTATATGCTCTAGATGAAATGTAAAAYCTTTTATCACTATAAGAAAAAATATACATGAAACAGTTCTTAACATTATGGATTTYGGTCGTTGAATGATACTCGTGTGTGAATTGCGCACGAGAAGTGTGCATGTAACTCCTGTATAACGTCATTTTGTTTTTCAGATGAGGTAACTATTGGTAACAAGAAGGCTGATCCTGCACCAAGCATCCTACTAAGTGGTCTCAGGTAAAAACTATTATTAAGCAATATTATTATGCATTGGATATATTAGACGTACAATCTTTTGAAAGCTGTTTTTGGCTACWCAACACGGACACTGGTGTCTCGTCCAAAACAAATCCTTAAATCTAAACAAGTCATTTTTCGTTTAGCATTCAGAAGCAGCATGCAGTCATAACTGTGAAGGACAGTGAAATCACCATCAAACCAGCTGTGTCAGGATCCAAGACGAAAGTGAATGGCATGCCATTGACAGGGGAAACACCACTTAAACATATGGATAGAATACTCTTTGGTAAATATATGAATTAGACAAGATGCTAAACTCTCTCAGTATCTCTGTCCCACCCTGGGAATATATAGAATGGGTATCAGTGTTGTCAGTGTGAAGTAGGAGCAGGAATACCACCTACCACTAACATTCTGGTGCTCAGTTAATGAAAGACCAGGCTCCAAATATGATTTTTTTTTTTATTAATGTGTTTTCTTTTGATTGTGTATTAGAATTGTGATTATCTTACAGGGTCTGATTTTTACCCTTAAGCTCCTGTACCAGCTAGTGCACATCTTATCTTTTTCTTCTCCTCTTCCATTCCAGCTATTTSGATAAAAATTGATCATAAACCAGTTTGGTCAAAAATTGTTTGAGGTGTCAAAAGGCAGTTGAATATGCAAAATTAATGTGTTTGCACTCAAACAAGTTTTTGCAAGCAATCGTCAGGCAAATTATGGGAATCTAACTTATCAATCCTAAATATGAACTTAAATGAYAATTAAACAAAATCAAAGAGAAAATAGTAACAAATGTGCCATATGAAATGTTTTTCACACAGAAATGAATACCATCTATTGATTGTTCTTCTTGTTCAGGTTCTAACCACATGTATTATCTGAAAAACCCTAAAAACACTGAGAAAAGYGAAGGCTCTCCTGATAAAGTTGACTGGGACTTTGCACAGAAAGAGATTGCAGAGGCTAAAGGTTTTGCTACAGGCTTTGGTGCTGGTCAAAGTAAAGGTAAATTCCTGTTCCTTCGCTTGACAGATGTATGTCTTATTGGCTGTGCATGRTTTTACAATAATTTCACTAAAACATGTGTTTATCAACAGAGCAACAACTTGCCCAGGAACAAGTCTTGGAGCTGCTGCCATTGGTCAGTGAAGTAAATGCAGTCAGCGAGGAGTTGGACAAGGGAAAGTATGTAGTGCTGTTTTCTGTCATTTTCCCTTTCTTCCCATTTGCAATTCCCTTTATTCTCGTTAAGCTGCATCTTTTGAAATTCAGCACCTGTGCTGCCATGCCTATTGTAGTTATATTGTTAATTTTCACTCATTATATTTCTTTTCCTGCTTTTCTTCAACTTGCAAGAGATTCTTTCTATATCCATCTCTCTTCACATTTTATTGCTATTTCCCTTTTTTTCTCTACTTTCTACCTCTTGCTTTCTTAAAATTATCTTTTTGTCACTTTTTCATCCCTCCCCTCCTTCCTTTCCTTTCTCTGCCTTGTTGTAACTATAATTAAAATCTGAAGACATAATCATAAGAACACASTCATGGCAAATTCAGCAGTGCATTAAYTTTCACTGCATTTGCAGGACGTTTGAAGTCATCCTGATTTCTGCAGCTGCTCAAGGTCAAACTTCATCCTCAGGAACCAAGTATGTAATCATAAAAAACATCTTATTCATGCATTTTAAAGAAAATGAAGAATACATTTGTGGTAGACACTGATAATGATGTTGCAGGCTMATAAGAGGGGCAGGAAAGATATGGAAAAAATTTAATAATATTAAAGTAAAATGTGACCTCTCGCGAGAAAACGTGTCTTAACGCTTAAAAGCGTTATAACAGTTTTCCGTTAATGGCCGTTAAACGGTTTGTTTGAACGTTAAAACGCTTTGGCAAAGTGTTAAACGTTTTGGGCAAAGCCTTATAACGTTTCCCGAAAACGTTAGCCGTTAAGACCAAAGCGTTATAACGTTTTGCCAAAGTGTTAAACGTTAAGAGCAAAGCGTTATAACGTTTTCCCAAAGCGTTAGCAGCACTTGAAAAAGCGTCAATGACCGTTTAACGCTAAAGCGATAAGACACGTTTTCTCGTGAGAGGTCACAAATGTTATTTGTAATGAAAAGTAAAAATCTAAGATTTGATAATCCATGAGGTGGTCTGTATAGTTAACTATAAGCAGTCTGCAAATTATCAATCGTTATTCTTTCTGTGTGTACTTAATTATCTAAAATAATTCCAACTTATGATTTATTTCATTTGAATGTAAAGCATAATATATAAACACTGGTGGTTGAATAAAATGGAAGTTAATTTGAATGTACATGTAGCTCATCCAAAGTCAGAAAAATATGATTAAAATTGCAGCTAGTATAAAAAATACATTCATGTACAWACCARAGACAGTGTGGG